GTATTTTTTTCTTCTCTCAATTAAAGGCTAAAGGGTAATCTTTCAAATTCGAGCCATGTCACAAATCTTTCTCAGGCTTAGATACTTAGCAATGGCCTGATTAGCAATGTAAAGGAATTTTGGCCAGGAACACTCCAGAATTTGTGAACCCAAAACATTACAAAACACGTTACACTGAAATTGCATTGCCTTTTTTCTTAATTTTCTTCTAGGGATTTAAAGTGGGAATTGATGTTGCTTAATACTATTCTGTGACTTAAAAAGATTATCAAATGCCAAGTGCAAAGAGGTTTTAGACTTCTTCGCCTCAAAAATTGAAAACATCCGCTTGGCTGCATCGTGCTCCCACCCATGTCCCCTTCCACCCCACCCAGACCATCCACACCGCCTTCTCCCTCCACCACAGCTCCTAACACTCCAACCCCCACCTTCCTTACACTCCTTTTCCCCCATTTTTCCCTCCTCCATCTCAACCACAATCACCCGGATAAAGTTCACCACCTGCTGACTCAACCTCCTCCCCTCCAGCTGCTGGTCACTCAACTCCCTCTTCTCTCCCCTGTGCTGGCCAACACAGTCAACCAGTCTCTCTCCTCAGGCTCTGTTCCTCTCTCCCTGAAAACCGCTGCCATCACACCCCTCCTGCCCATAGCACAGAGGCAGCGCTTGTCCAAGTCTCAAACAACGTCCTCTCTATTCGTGTTCCCTCCGCCTCCTCATTCTCCTGGATCTCTCTCCCGCGTTCGACAAAATCGACCACGCCACCCTTCCTCATCTACTTTAGGTGGGACCACTCTCGCATAGTTCGAGTCCTACTTAACCAACTGCCTACATTTCATCTCAGCAAATGGTTTCTCCTCCCGCCCCCACCTGGTCACAGGGTATCCCAGGGCTCCATCCTTTGCCCTCTTTTCCCTATCTATATGCTCCCTCTGGGCAATGTCATCCGCAGACATGGAGTAAACTTCCACATATATGTGGATGACACACAAATCTACTTTGCCTCCTCCAGTACCGACTCCAGGTCCGCTGATGTTCTATCAGCTTGTCTGGCAGACATCAAGGCCTGGATGAGTGTAAACTTCCTGCAGCTGAATGTGGACAAGATGGAAGCCATACTCCTTGGCTCCCATCAAAGTCTTCACTCCTGCGGATCTAAACTCTTCAACCTCCATGGGATCTCCCTCAGACTCACCGAGCCAGTGCGTAACCTAGGCATTCGTTTCAACCCCCAACTGTCTTTCCACCCCAACATCTGGTGCCTGAACAGGACCCCCTTCTTCCACCTCCGCCACTTTGTCCGCCTCTGACCGTACCTTACCCCAAATGCAGCCGAAACCCTCGTGCATGCGTTTGTCACCTCCCGCCTGGATTACTCCAACGCACTCCTTGCCGGTCTTTCCAGCTCCACCATTCAAAAGATCCAGCTCATTCAGAACTCTGCCGCTCACATACTGACCAGTTCTGGCCAGGCTCCTCTGGCTCCTCATCACAGAACTGATTGACTTCAAGATCCTCGCTCTCTGTTCAAATCCCTTCACTCTCTGGCACCTCCCTACCTCTCCGACCTCCTCACTCCCCAATCCACCACCCGGAACCTCCGCTCGACTGGCACTGGTCTCCTGCGTGTCCCTCGCACCCTCTACCCCACCATCGGAGGTCGTGCTTTCAGTCACTACGCCCCAAAACTCTGGAACACTCTTCCTCAATCCCTCCGCCTTACCCTCTCTCTCCCCTCTTTCAAGTCCCATGTGAAAACTTTCCTCTTTGACCGTGCTTACGGCCACCTCCCATCCTGCCACTCCCCCCCACTGTTAAGCGCTCTGAGATGCTACCCTGGTGGAGGGCGCTATAAGTGCAAGTTGTTGTTGATTACGTATAGTGGCTGGTAGTTACCTTCCACAGGCCATGGGTCACTTTTCACATACGTGCCACACTCATCTTTACCTATCTTTACCTATCTGCTTTCATCTTCAGTTCAGGACTGTTACTGTTCTAACTGACTGCCTGTCAAACGTCAAGTCTTGGATGAGCGCTAACTTCCTTCAGCTAAATGTTGACAATTTGAAGCCTACTTGACCCTCATCTGTTCTTCAAACCTCAACTCTAGTCCATTTTTTCCCCCGACTTCTGAATAATACCCGCTTATGCTCCACCTCAGTTTCTCTTCTGCTGTAATCCTCATTTGTACCTTTATCGCCTTGGGAATAGACTCTCCAATACCTTCAATGCCAGCCTCCCTAGCTACAGTCCCCACAATCTCCAAAGTATTCAATTCTCTGCAATCTATGCTATCCACACTAGACATTTCCCCAAACTCATTCCACCATCCTTGCCAGACTCAATTAGCTCCCAATACAAATTCAGATCATCTTTGAAATCCTGGTTCTCACTTTCAAATCCTTTCCTGATCTATGCAATCTCATCCAAATTTGTTTCCTGCCAGAACCCTCCGCTCGTCAAATTGTGGTCATTCAATCCTCATTCCCTCTGTCCCACTATTGATGACCAAACCTTCAGCCACTAAACCCTTTACTCTGGAACCCTTCTCCTAAATTTCTTTGTTCTGCAATCTTGCTCCTGCTTTCAAGACCCACTTAAAAACATATCTTTTTGACTGTGCTTTTGATCAACATCATCAATTTTCCTTTCCTTCTCTGCGCTCGCTTCTTTGTCCCCGTCATATCTGTGAACCAATTCATGAAGTTCTTTATACTTGAAAGGTACAATATAATGGAATTGTTTCTCCTTAATTAGACTTCAAGCGCATTGTTTTATTACGAAAAGGTATTTGACAATTTTCTTTAGTTTCAGAACATAAAATATTGAAAAAGTTATCAAATTACTCTAAAAAAGCTAGTAAAATTCAGCATTTCTGTATTTTATTCTATTTTTGCTTTATATCTGTTACAGTGTTACATTTTTCACAGTTCTATATTCTTCATCTCCACATACTAACAAAATATAAAGCAATCGAAATTAAATGGGCTAAAATATTGGGGAGGAGAGAATAGAAGAGAATATTGGGAGACTAAGGATTAGAATGAGAATGGAGGCTCATGTTGTTAGTTGGCTTGTTCATTGCTGTAGATTCCATGTAATTCAGTGTAATTTGGCCATTGTACAAGAAGATTCATTTGTTACCCTGATACTGGATTTGTGTAACTTATTAGGAACATATTAAACATCAAGAAATTAGAGTGCATCCATCGTCACACAATATACACAAGTAAAAATGGAGTTACCCCTTCCCCCTACCCCAAGAAATTAAATGATATGTCTAATTTAATGAAGGAACAGAAAGAGTTGTAATCTTATCCCATCTTTAAATGATGGTTCTTAGCCATCAAGCTTTCCTCCTGTGGTTTATCACATCATTTGAACAACCCAAATCAGATTAGTCTTAAAAGTGACTCCCAGATTTCCATTATTTCTACATATTTCCATGTTACTTCAAATCTACTGGAATGAAAGAAGCTGACTCAAATTCATCAACATACAGCCAGCAAAGAAGACTGATGTCTTCTAATTCAGTGATACTGGGGTTTAACTTGCAGGATTTCTAACAAGATTCCTTTATAAACAGTGCATCGTGCTGGTTTGCTCCATTGCAATCAACCTCCAAACTAGCGTCTCTGTAGCTTGGTGTTAATTCAAGTGTATTCCTGCTTGTAGAATCCTGTTATAATTCCTGCATTTTAAATCCTACTGTTTTATAAATTCTAATGTTCCTAATTGTCTCAAAAAACTGAGATTTCTTTCCATTGATTCCACTATTCCTTATGAGTTTGTACTTGTCAAATATTTGAAACAGAGTATGTCAGTATTGTTTTGCCTTTGATTTAAAATAGAATGATTGTTGTACTGTTTCTAAACATCCCATGGAACCTGCTCTAGCCGGACAAAAAGGCCAGCCCCAGCTCCACTATATATACTTTATTCTATCTATCTTCTGAAATTACCTACTACAGACCTAGTAGTGGTGTTGTTTCAAGGAGTAAGATGCAAATGAACTTACACTCTGTTTATGTAGGCACAATTTTTAAGTTCCAAGAATGTCTTAAATGTATCCAAGAATAATATTACTGTTGAAATGTAGTGATTCTGAGTTCTGCCCAGTGATATATTCTGACAGCACTCTAAGCCATTTCCTGGCCAGGTATCCAGTCATCTGGACATACTGTGAGCTTTGAACTCTTGTCCATGTATTCCTATAGCAACTATAGTAAACAACATTAACTTCTAGCTGAATGATTAGAAAATGGAATTTTCAGGATCGTCACAAATGTAAAAGTTGCATCATTAATGAACTCTTATTTTGTTTTGGACAATCAGCCATCATTTGTTACATCAATGGAAACAAACGTGAAATGAAAAAAAAATTTAGTGTACTTTGCCTAAACTCTCCTTAAATACAGGTTCAAAATGTTATTAATGCCCACAGAATTTACTAAAGCATGGTCCAGCAAGTATATAAAGTTTTCTACAGGAGTCTTGAGTAATTTTCCAATCAGAACTTGTTAAGCCGAGCTATGTAATGCTGCCTTCAATGAACAGAACTTTCCAAGCTCAATTTCATAGACAGTATGTTGTAAATCACTCTTCAGCTTGATGACTTCCAAAGTTTCATACTTTCAGTCTGCAATACCTTAATGTACTATGAAAGATTTGAAATAACCCTAGATAAAGTCAACACATTGCATATGAAATTGGTAAAGATATTGTACCAAATATAAGTTGGGCTTGGAAAGTTTAGTTTTCAAATGATACCAGTTTTGCCCTGTGTCTTCTGATATGTGTAGATTGATGCCATATGGTCTGCATCTGTGCATTCTGACTTTTATATCACATGAACTTGTTTTGAAATGGTTTCTTGATGTGTTTTATTAGCAGTGCCTGAAATCCAGGCTTTTATCTAAAATGTTAACAAATAGCTGCTAATGAGGTTAATTTAGTAATTGTATGAATCCTAACAATCTACAATTTTGTCTTTATTTTAGCTTATCTTTTATTATGGAAGGGGTGATCACTGGTGCCCAGTTGTGTACTACGAAGACATGAAGAGAAGCTTTCCTGAAGGGACCATCTATCTCTGTCAAAAAGGAATTCGCCATGCCTTTGTTTTGGATGCCAGTGAGGAGATGGCTCAAATGATTACGGACTGGTTATATAAAGATGTAGTAAAATTATAGTAAACCTGAGTTTGTATATAATCCTGGAGTCCTGTAGCTCAGTGGTTAGAGCACTCGCCTCGCAAGCGAGGGACCTGGGTTTGATTCCAGGCGGAGCGAAATGTTAGACAAATTTCCTTACTCCAAACTCCTCTGTTTACCTAGCAGTAAATAGGAACCCGGGTTGTTAGTCGATTGGCAGATCACTTTTCCGGGAATAATAATCCCTCAAAAAAACAATAATAATTTGGTCAATCAATCCATTGCTGTTTGTGGGACCCTGCAGTGCGCAATTGGCTTCCAGGTTTCACCCACAAATATAGTCAATTCACTTTCCAATATATTCTGTGAAGTGCTTTGAGATGTCTAGAAGATGTGAAAAGCATTATATCAAATGCAAGGATTATTATTATAATTCTAAGATTTCTTTTTAAAAAATTGACTAAATAAGGATTGCATTACATACTCTCAGTATTCTAATGTTTCACAGAATTCAGTTAATGCACGAAAGCTATCTTACGAAATATAAATAAAAGTTTCAGTTTAAATGTATCATTCTGAGACCTTCTAAGTTTGGAAAATCGTATGCTAGAAAGACTACCGGATTACAGCTAATTTTAAAATAATTATGACCGCCCTTTAATTTTTATATCTCTGTACAGCTCCTGCATCAGTTAAATCTGTTTTATATCAGGGTTTTTACTGGCTAATAATTGTTGGCATTCACTGTCTACTTGTGGTTTATTAGATTAGGTTTAGTTCTCAATCAAGCATTCTCAACATTGCAGCATTTGCTGAAGCATAGATGAAGCTTTTCCAGAGCCCTGCCACATTCCAGAAAAGGAAACTATTACGATGTTCTTTAGAATCGTCTCACTATATTTGTCAAAATCATATTGATCAGCTCTAGGCTGACCAAAGCCTTGTCGAGATCAAATTAGCCATTTAGGACATTTCAAGAAGTAGGACATACTCTATAATTATTTGTGAAGTCTTCAATATGCACTGGAAAAAGAACTAAATAAAATAAATTGTTCCAGTAATAATTTTAGCAATTTTTGTGGATCAACTATACTGTACTAAAATAATAACACAAAACTTTGACCACTGTCTTTGACTAGATACTACGAATAAAGTTTTACAAAACTGCAGCTATAAAATCTCACAATACAACCACAAGTTTATTACCAAAATTGGGTAGTTATCAAAGTAACAAGCTTCTTTTGGGCCAGTCTTCCTAAAGAAATGAAATTATTTTATCTTTTACTCACTCTTCTTAGATTTCTCCAATAAAGTTAACAGGCAAGCGATTTGTTCCCCTCTGTCTCTCCCAGTAATGTTAGTCTCCACTTGCGAAACCTTTTTCCATCCACGAAAGCACCAAACCACGAAAGGAGCAAGATAACTCACCACTGAGTTCTAGAGAATGGGGTATTGTCGCCAGGAGCTCATCCACAAATTGTGGGGCTGAAGGACAGGAGATGGTCACTTAGATACAGTGTAAAGGCAATAGGAGGGTACAGTAAGGCTGTGTCAGCCTGACTCAGTTGATCATACTCTCGCTGCTGAGTCAGAAGGTTGTGGATTCAAGCCCCATGTCAGGTTTTGGAAACCCACATAGTTTAGCCTGAAACTCCAGTGCAGTGCTTCGAGAGTGCTGCAATGTCAGGGGTACTGTCCTTTGGATGAGATGTTAAATCAGGTCCTCACTACCTTTCCAGGTGGAAGTTAAAAGATCCCATGACTATTCGAAAAGAGAACGGAGTTTCTCACAGTGTTCTGGCTAACAATACCCCAAATACAAAATTGGTCATTCATTCTATGGGTGTTTGTGGGATGTTGCTGTGTGCAAATTGTCTACCGCTTCACAGTATATCCTGTGAAGCACTTTAAGATGCCTCGATGATGTGATAAGGCAACATATTCAAATACAAGGATTATATTATTACAGAAGATCACCAATGTTAAAGAAGGGATAAACACAAGCAAATTTTAAAGGGAAGGAAAAGTAGATTAGAAGGTGGAGAGGCTAAATGGACAACAAAGAACGGGGTAATTTTGGAGAAACAATTGTGAATGACAGAAGCAGAAGTCATTTATTTCAGGCCTTTTATGTCAGGAGGACATCTCAAAGTATTTAATACTGCTGGCTGGGCACCGCAAGCTGGAGATGGAAGCCGATGCGAGTGGGGGAAAGATGACTGAAAGTCCAGTCAAAGAGGTATGTCATCAAATCCAGACAATGAAGGTCCCGGCAAACATCATGTGGAAAAACTGATGCTAATCAGAGTGGAGAGTGGAGCAATGGAAAGGACTCTTTTCCAAAGTAATCAAAATTAGAAGACAAGGTAATAAGGTCAACTTTCTGTTTCAGAGAATAGCATTAATAATCCTTGCAGTTGATATAACGCCGTATCATGTTATCAAGATATCGCAAAGAGCTTCATAGAATATACTGTAAAGTGAAATGGCTATAGTTTGTGGATGAAACGCGGCAGCCTACTGAAGGAAGAGAATATATTATTAACACTTTAGTCCATTGCATATTAGACCAAACAAATCATTCTAAATGCCTACATGTGAGGTGGTGAATGCATTTTCACAATAACTAATAATTGAATTGGTTGATCTTATTTAGGAAAGAACACGTTTTGGTAAATGTTCCTCTGACTTTCCCAGTTAAGATATGAAACTAAACAAAATGTATATGGGTATGGAGCTCTGACTTGCTCACAGTCAAGCAGCACATGAAACACACAAGATTATAAAGCAAAAGCATTTCAGTCTTAGGATTTTCAAAAAAGATAGCAGAAAAAAAGTCAGTCACAACCCACTGTTCATTGCTGGAGAGTCGACATAAAACTGAACATGTGGAGCTGCTGCTATCACCAACTTCTTCAGAACATTCAAACACAGATTAGATAGTTTTCTTTTAGGAAATAACATGGGATACAGTACATAGGTAGTTCGGGACATATGTGCATGCAACCTCCAGGAAGGTGGAAGGCGAGCTATATGAACCATGGTTTTTTTTGTCTAGCATTTCTTATGTTCTTATGTAACAACAGCTGTTGCTTAAAATAAAGAAATATATCTGAGCCAAATACCCTTAGGAAAAAAATCAATAAGAGGGATGAATAAAGACTTTTTAGTTATATCATAGCCTGTAAAGCTGTGATTGATTAGCTCACAGGCATCCAGATTATGAACATTTGCCGGCTAAAAATTAATCGCAAGGTTTTGGAAAGTTTGTGACAATGAATAACATTACGCGTATCTCCTAAGCACTCGCCTTTTGGTATCATTTGTTATGGATGATGTGGTTAGATTTCCACTTTGTACTTCTAATGTACCCTATCACCTGTCAGGTTTTACCAGACCACATGCATTATTTATCATCTATATCTCCCCACCCATCAAATGGTTCAGTTCATTGTTCACTTAAATGCAGTTTCTTCCTGCTGTCAGTAAATATATGTGCCAAATTACTTAGCTTAAAATCAAGGCCTTGGCTTGTCGTTTTCCTCTACTCAATGGATCACCAGGGTCAAAAACAAAAGACTTTCTTACAGTAAACTAAATCCTACCAGTGAAGTCATTTCTTAAGTTACATTCCACAGTTTTCTTCACCTCATACAGGCTTCTCTGGTCATTTACACTTCCATTTACTTACATAGACCACCTGGATTACTGTTACATTTTTATGCTAACAATTATTGGTTATGTCACATAGTTTGTCCCTTACCAATTGCAATAGAATTACTGTATATCTTACATTCCCTCTGAAAGCAGTTTTAATTCCTAAATAAAAAGGATTAGATGGCTCTTTTCAATGTGCAATACAGACCAGAAAAGATCCAAATTTTAACCTAGATTTGTTGCTGAGTTAATTGATCTCAGCTAGGATAGCTCCATGGTTGTCTTCAGCAACCCAGGAAAGGGAGAGAAAATATTAACCAGTAGTATACCTCCTAATCTTGATCTCTAGACATCTTCACAAGATCACAATATTGGTTTAGACGAAGGCCCTTCACCCCATTTGATCTCATCCTTCCAGAATATCCACCTTACCTTCTGATGACTCCAAAGTCCTGGCTTCCTGATAACATGTTCAATTCCTATTAACCTATTCTTCATTGTAACCTGTTCAACATGAATGCTGGGTATGGTTAGCATTTGGTTCAGCTGCAATGCCACTGTTTCCTCACACAGATACACAGGGTCAAATTCCCCTCAGTGTCAGTGTTGCTTCTAGAATTATTTTCCATTTGATTTTTCCTTCTAGAATACCAAACCTATTGGTTCCCCATTTCAATATCAAACTGTTTCTTAAATGTTAATCACTGTCAAGCTTCATTCATGCTTAAAAGCATTTGGAGGAAGTACAAGAAGGCAACCCACAACTTAATGCAATAAACGAAAAAAGGAGTTAATTCAGAAAATATTGGTACAAAAATAATTCTAGAAGCAACACTGACACTGAGGGGAATAGAAGGATATAGGAGAGAGTAAGGAATGGGTGAAGACCTATGTAGAGTTTAAGTATCAGCACTGACTGGTTGGGTCGAGTCTCCTGTTTCCGTTCTTGTAAACTTCGTAACTGTTATATTTGCAACAGGATGTCACTGAGACACAGCAGCAAACCTATAAACCTAGCAAGAAACATCCCAAGTGTTACCACGATTGTCTAAACTTTGGATTAATCAGTTAAAATTGCAATCCAATTGGCTGGTAGGGCAAAGAATAATTTGAGGCAAGAAACCAGGGAGCTGCACCTCTCCTAGGAATGGAGTCCTGTAGCTCAGTGGTTAGAGCACACGCTTTGCAAGCGAGAGACCTGAGTTCAATTCCAGACAGGGCGAAACCTTGGGCAAGTTTCCTTACTCCACACGCCTAATAATAATCCCTCCAAAACCAAAAACAATAATAAATTGGTCATTTTCAATCTACGACTGTTTGTGGGACATTGCTGTGCACAATTGGCTGCCGCGTTCGCCCACAAATATACAGTCAATTCACTTTACAGTATGTTCTGTGAAGCACTTTGGGACGTCCTCCCGAC